TTTTTTTTTTTTTTTTGGTACCGGGGATTGAACTCAGGTCCTTGTGCTTGCAAGGCAGGCCACCGAACCGCTGAGCTAAATCCCTGGCCCTAGTCACATGCAATTTTAAAATGTGGTCTACAGTCAACATCAGAAATGTCACAAACATACACACACACGCAAAAATACAGTATATGAAAGAATCAGTTCAGATGAATGTCACTCAAACCAAATGTGCTGTTTTCTTTCTTTTGTTTTTGAGACAGGGTCTCACTATGTAGTTTGGGCTGGCCTTGAACTCTTGGTGATCCTCTTGCCTCAGCCTACAGAGTGCTGGGATTACTGGTGTGCATGTTGGTTCTATTCTAAAACAGTTACTGGCAGACTTTTTAAACTGTGGACTCTTTTGCCAAGTAAAATCATCCCTATGACCAATCTGGCTATGTGGGTGGGAAAGGTAAGCAGCCAGCACCCTACCCTCTCACCAGGTGCTCTCCTCTCTGATGCAGCCAAACAGGGTACACAGAACAGGAAAAGAGCTGCTCTGAATGACCCCAGACCTCACTGCACATTCACACACTAAAGAAAGACTGAGCTGCAATCACTTTAAGTGCTTGCATCAAACATTTAATAGTCTTCCTGCTAACATGTCAGTTTAACTGGGGAACATCAGGAGCTCTGTCTGACTACCATGAACAAGTTCTGAACAGCTACTAACAAAAGCACCTGGGGTGGGTGATAATACTCTGTGCAAGATGCTGAGAAATCATTTTTATTTGCTTTGGTTGGTTGTTTTTTTGTTTTTTGAGACAGAGTCTTGCTAAGACACTAAATTGCCCAGGCTGGGCTCAAATTTAAGATCTTCTTGCCTCGGCTTCTCAAAGTACTGGGATTAAAGTATACACCACCACATCCTGCAAGAAATCAGTTTTATTCCATTTCCTGAAACTAGATCATCATTACCTTATTATATTATCAAACTCACAGAGTGTGATAAAATGTTAGAAGTCATGAGCAGAGGAAAGGGGTCCTAAATCCTAACCTACTGAGAGACTCCAACTTATGTCATACTTACTTCCTGGTACCTCATTGTTTACTATAGTCCAGGCTGATTTCTTTGTCATCTAGAATTTATCTGTTTAATCATTCAATTAATCATCTTCTTCAGGCCATACCTCAGGTATCACTTACATCATTCTATTGATTTTTAACTCATGTTCCTTAATTTCCATGGTTCATGTCCTATTCCACTGGAGTGAATAAGCATCTTCAAAGACAGGGCCACTTGTCTTATTTCTTTATGTCCTCACAACATTTGGCAAAATGCTAATTATATAATTATTGCTTCACTTTAACTGAACTCATGGTGATCCTCCTGCCTTAGCCTTCTGAGTGCTAGGATGACAGGCATGCAAGCTGGACCCATTCTAAAATAATTATTGGTATACAGGTGAGCCATAAGTTTATGTATGAACCATAACTGTTCTTTATTTTTGTTTGGTAAAGGGAATACTATGAGGAACTACAGAATGAACTTGGAATTAATAAATAAATTCCAAAAATACTCAGTTAAATATATTGGTTTTTGATGGGTCATAATGGGTTAAGATTTTTTTTTTTTATTTTTCCTCTTCCTAGCTTCCTAGCACTGGGGATCCAACCCAGGGCTTACATATAGTAGGCAAGAACTCTACCACAGAGCTAGACCCTCACGCCTTTTTATTTTTGAGATAGAATTTCAATGAATTGCCCAAGCTGGCCATGAATTTGAGACCCTCTTACCTCAGTCTCCTGGATTACAGGTGTGCAACACTATGCCTGGCAAAAACTTATGATGGGTACAGGGGCATGCATGTGCCTGTAGTCCCACCTAGTCAGAAGGCTGGAACAGGAGAAATCACTTGAGTCCAAAAATCTGCAGCCAGATTGGACAACACAGTAAAACCTTAACTCAAAGCAAACCAGAACCAGGTCTGATAATGCATACTTGTAATCCTAGCACTAGGAAGACTGAAGTAGGAGGATCGTTGTATGTTCCAGGCCAACTTGGGCTACAGAGTAAGACCCTGTCTCAAAAAAAAAAAAAGAAAAGAAAAAAGAGCCAGGGATTTAGCCCTGTGGTGCTGCACCTGCCTTGCAAAGCACGAGGTCCTGAAGTTCGATCCCCGGTACCAAAAATGACAAAAAAGAAAGAAAGAAAAAAGAAAAACACAACAAACAACAAAAAATGTTAAAATAATTGATGCATACTACCAAAAGGATGTCCTTCTAATTACGGATCAATAAGAGGTGACTTATTGTCTTAAAAAAAAAACCTTACCAAATGGCAGAATAAAACATCTAACCTGGAGCAAATAATCTTGCTCCCTAGTCTATTCTGATGTCATCTGAACATTAAAACTATTAATTTTTTTATTAGCTTGACAAAGCCCTAAGACATTACAATGCTTTCCAAGCAAAGAAACACAGCAGTTTAGTACTACGGGGTACACAGATTAAGAAATAAAGGTGAGGTTTTGGCAGGGTGTATTTTCCACTGATGGCCACCACAATATCACCATGTTCATTCTTCAACTGTGAAATGGCCCTTCCCACAAAGAAGGAAATTTGACCTTGCCACCCACCCATCAAGAGGCAGTCTGCTTTTCCTTCTCATTAAATCTGGGTCAATCTTGTAACTGCTTTAATCAATAGAACAACACATAGTGTGAGTTCTGAGAAGAGCCCTGAACCTGCCTGGCAGTTTCTGCTTTCTATCTCTAGAAAGTAAGCTGCAACTGGACCAGGGATTTAGCTCAGTGTTGCTGCCGCCTGCCTTGAAAGCAAAAGGTCCCAAGTTTGATCCCCAGTACCAAAAAAAGAAAAAAAGAAAAGTAAGCTACCATACAAAAGGTATGATTATCCTGAGAAGTCATAGCCTAGGAGATTTCCTAGAAAATGAGCCACTAAACTGGGATGAGTGAGAGCACTAAAAAGCCCAAAGTTGCAGATAAAGGAGTAAAGAAGCCATTTGGGAATGGCTAGAAATCCATACAATGAATGTTGCTTTGCCTCAAAGGTGAGAGACAAACCACCCAGGCTAAATTATCCCTAATTTCTAGTTCACAAAATTGTAAGCAAAATGAAATGACTGTTTTAAGCCTCTGTTTTGATATAGCTTGTTACATAACAACAGAGAATTTAGACATCATTCTTAATAACTTGCCTATGATTTCTTGCTAAAAATGTCATTCTGTCTTCCAATCTGAGGGTAATGTTCCACAAATTTATTAGCTCTAATCATGAAGACAAGGGTGCAGTGCCAGACAGATCTTTGTCATCTTTTGATGTTTCCATAAAGAACAGCCAACCTTTACCACAGAACTTATCACGATGCTCTCACCAAAGTAACACTCATGTCTGACCTACAAATGTTAGCAACCACTGTAATTTCCTTGTACCAATCCATAATCATGAAATGGTTTTTATATTCAATCAAATTTTTCAAAGCCTACTAACTTACTCAGCAAAATATACTGTAATATAGATACAAAATTTGTGCTGCCTCTACCAAAAAGGAAAAGATAAATGAAAGAAAGAAAAAAGAAAAGGGCTGAGGATGTAACTTGGTGGAAGAATGCATGCTTTGCTTGTGTGAGGCCCTTGGTTCAAAATCCAGATATTGGAAGAATGAACATATATATATATATACTTTTCCCCTCTATTTTTACAGTAAAGGAACCACTAAAATAGCTTTGTGAAATCAGCTAATGGAGTTAAACTTTGGTTGACAAAAAATTGAGTAGCAATAAAAACACTTAAAATTATTCAAAACAAAAACAGCTTCCAAACAGCTCCCCCACCCGCTTTCTTTTTTTTTGGTACTGGGGATTGAACTTGGGACCTTGTGCTTGCAAGGCAGGCAGCAGCACCACTGAGTGAAATCCCTGGCTCAAAAATATCTTTTCATTGTATGTTTTCTTCTTTTTTGGTACCAGGGATGAAACTCAGGAAATTGTGATTGTGAGGCAGGAGGCAGCACCACTGAGCTAAATCCCTGGCCCCCCAGAAACAGCTCCTTTAAAAACAGTACTCTTGGCTGGGTGTGGTGGCGCACACCTGTAATCCCAGCACTCAGGAGGATGAGGCAGGAGCATTGCTGTGAGTTCAAGGCCAGCCTGGGCTATATAGTGAGTTCTAGGTCAGTCTCAACTACATAGGGAGACCCTGTCTCAAAAAACAAAATAAAACTAAAAACAGTACTCTTGCTGGGTGCAGTGGAGGCATCGTCTTAAAGCAAACAAACATGCCAAGCATGGTGGTGCATGCCTGTAATCCCAGCACTTAGGAGGCTGAGGCAGGAAGACGGCTGCAAGTCTACGGCTAGCCTGGGCAAGGCAACCTGAATAAATACCAAGAGAAAAAAAGAAAGAAGGAAAACAAAACAAGGGCTGGGGATTTAGCTCAGCAATTTGGTGGCCTGCCTTGCAAGCTCAAGGACCTGAGTTCAATCCCTGGTACCCCCCCCAAAAAAAAGAAAACAAAATAGTAGCTTAGTAAAATAGTCAATTCCAGGTCTAAGGCAAGAAAGCCATTAAAAGACTTAAGAGCACCATATGAAAATAATTCAGGTAACAATTTGAAGGATATCCCCAAAGTCAAATGAGACATTTGAACATTTGTTAGGATAATAACTACAATAGACAAGACCATATGGAATGTTTATATCCACAAAATTTTAATTATACTAAAAAACCGTATTGGCTACTTTTAGAGCATGCTAGAGAATTAAGAAAAAGAAGTAAAAATTTATCTTGCTTTCCTAATCAAATTGTATCTTCCAATAATCAAATAGTAGTTGATTACAGGAAATTTTTCTTTGTAGATGTATTTCAGCTAATAAATGAAAGAATGACAGAGTATCGATAATTTGCAATGCACGTCAGGGTTTAGCTCAGTGGTGCTGCCTCCTGCCTAAGAAGCGCAAGGTTCCAAGTTTGAGTCCCGCTACTAAATAAATAAATAAATAAATAATTTGCAATGCTCATCAATAGCTACTAACATCCAAAAAAGATGCACAATAAGACCCAACAGGCATCCTATCAAAGCTCATTATACATTTATAGGGGGGAGCCCCCATGAAAAAGAAAAATCCTGCCAGTCATAGTGGCACACACCTATAATCCCAGCACTCAGGAGGCTGAGGCAGAAATATCATCATGAGTTCAAGGCCAGTCTGGGCTACATAGTGAGTTCGAAACCAGCCTGCACCACAAAGGGGACCCTGTCTCGAAAAAATCAAAACCAAACAACCCCCCCAAAAACTAACTCAGATCTAATCAAATATTTGGGTATAACTGCCAATTCACATGAAATACATGAGACAGAAAAATATGTCAACAACTCAAGGAAGCAATCAGTAATACCCAAATAATGGAAGAATTCTACAGACAAATTAACTAGTTTCTTTACTAAGTCATTGTAAGGAAAAAAAAGAGGGATGAACAGAGAGATGAAAGGAGGGAGAAAGAAGACAGAGAAGAATGGGGATTTAGCTCAGTGGTGCCACCACCTGCCTCACAAGCACAAGGTCCCAAATTCTATCCCTAGTACCAAAAAAATAAAAAGAAAAAAGAAAAGAAAGATAGACAGACAGTCTGAGGAATTTATATTTAAAAGGAACTTAAGCAGGGAGGCTGAGGCAGGAGGATAGCTGTGAGTATGAGGCCAGCCTGGGCTACACAATGAGTTCAAGGCCAGCCTGAACTACAGAGTGAGACCCTGTCTCAAAAAATAAATAAATAAAAGAAATTTAGGTAATGTCAATCAGGTGCAGTATACAGATCTTCCTGGACCTAGATTCAAACTGTTAAAAACAATTTATAAAACAATCTGGAAAATATGGAAACTGTAAAGATACTTAGTGATATTAAGATATTATTTCTTTTCAGCCAAGTGATGGTACAGGCCTGTAATCCCAGCACTCTGATAGGCTGAGACAAGAGGATCACAAGTTCTATCACAAGCCGGTGTAAGATAGCTGATTAGCAAGACCCCATCTCAAAATATAAAACACAAAAGGGCCTGGGACACAGGTCAATGTGGAAGGTCCTGGGTTCAAACCCAGTACTTTAAAAAAATGAAATTACCTTTTTAGGTATGATAATAGTAGCATAATAAAGCTTTAAAAAAGAAATCCTTACCATTAAAGATAAGGACTAGGGCTGGGGATTTAGCTCAGTGGTTCGGTGGCCTGCCTTGCAAGTGCAAGGACCAGAGTTCAATCCCCCGTACCAAAACAAAAGATAAGGACTGAAGTATATATAGAAAAAAATAACATTAAAGACTGCTTCAAAACAGGGAAGTTCATTACACTTTTAAACACCGTATTTTTTATTTGTTATTTTCATAAGTATACGTATAAACTATTGTATGTTAGGAAAACATAGTATTATATGAATATAAACAGAGCTTAATTACAGGAAACAATATAAACACACCTGCATTAGGTAGACAAGCAATGTAAGTACTATTTCCTAATGAATACTACAGTAGTTCAGATCAGGATACCAAAGATGGCCCCCTCCGTATGCCACCCCCAGCTGTACACTCACCACTTTCCATCTTTCTTTGACCAGGATTCCGACACTGAGGATGTCTGGCTGCTCTCCTCCCCCACTCATTGCAAAACACTGCTGTGGTAGAACAGCTACACGGGCATCCAGCTCCCAAAGGTGGTTTCCATTTAACCTGCAACAAAAAAACAGCAGCAGCTTCTCAGGGTTAATTAATACAACATTCTAGCATCAAGAAGCACTATTAATCCTATATATTAATTAGGTTGCTTTAAAGGGAAAGGGAGGGGAACAAACTGTTCTAAAAGCCATTTAATGCATATTTTTAAAAAGCACATTACCCTTCCACTACAGATGCCTGGTGATTATGAAAACACTGTTACTCCATGGATATTACAATATTTACAATAACCGAGACTGGATTATACAAGGAGCATGGAGTCAACAGCTCTTGATCCAGACTGTCAGCCTGAGTACAACATGCTGCTAAAGACCTGGTACTTAACTTACAGCAGTTTATAGTTAATAGGTTAGAACAGTTTAACAATCATAACAGCTAATTTGTGTGTGTGTGTGTGTGTGTGTGTGTGTGTTTTGAGGCAGGGCCTCAAACTCATAGTGATCCTCCTGTCTCAGCCTCCCAAGTGCTGGGAATACAGGTGTGTGCCACCATGCCTGAGAGCTAATAATATTTTAATGTTACAAAATGCACTTAAAATGCATGGGAGATAAATGTGAATGTAAAAAAGGCCCACTGATTAAACCCTACACAATAAAATTACAAAAAGGAATAATAGTACAAAAAAGAACAGCATACCTGTAGAATATGAAGAGTAGAAATAGTCTAAAGGAGATTAAAAACTATAACCTAGACTAGGAATGGGAAAGATACAGAATGATTTTCAGGAAACACGGTTTAACGGAAAAAGGCAAGATGCATAAAAGGCTTATAGTACGCTTTATAGCCTTTTGAGTAAAAGGGAAGTGAATTTTGAATATATGCATTTGCTTATTTTGTTTAAAGGTGGGGGGGGGATAGGCCAGAAAGAGATGAAAATGATTCTCAATAACAGGAGTAGGCAGTCTTTTCCCTGGAAGCTCAGAAGGTAAATATTTTAGGCTCAATAGACCACTGTGGTCACAGCTACTCAACTGTTTCTGACAAACAAAAGAAGTCATAGATGACTTCTCTGGCTTTGTCCCAATAAACTTTATTTATGGGGGAAATGGTAGTTGGCCAAATATGGCCTGCAAATAGTTGTTTACCAAAATTTACTCAATAGAAAGGGGAGAGAAGATAAAGGTTATTAGGATGGAAACCAGACAGACCTCTATGAATATATCTTACAGTTTTCATTTTTGGAACAATGTAATTGTTTTATATATCACAAAATAAATTTTCTATACTCAAAATGCAAAAAATAACATAGTGACAAGTGATTAGCAAAACAAAATTGGCTTTTAGGATGTGGATGTGCACACTTATAATCCCAGCACTTGGGAGGCTGAGGCAAGAGGATCACTTCAAATTCCAGGCCAGCCTGAGCTACATAATGAGTTCAAGCCTGTATAGTACTAGGCTGAACTACACGGTGAGACTCTGTCTCAAAAAAAAAAAAAGTCTAGGCCTGTAATTTGGCTCAGTGGTTCCGGTGCCTGCCTCTCAAGCACAAGGACCCGAGCTTGATCCCTGGTACAAAAAAAAAAAAAAAAAAAAAAAGTCTATTCCAAAATAGATATGGACTATTCATATAGACCAGGACTACTGGTGCATGGCTATTATCTCATATACTTGGGAGGCTGAGGCACAAAGCAGAGTTAAGCCCAGAGGTTGGGCCATCCTAGGAAGCACATCAAGAACCTATCTCTAAACAAATTAATAATGAATAATGACAATAATAGCTTCTAATAAGTGATGCACTTTGGAAGGTCAACTAATCAGTAACACCATAACACTGCAAAACAAAAAGCCAATAAATTCCTAAATACCCCTGCCTCATTATCCTTGAATGCTACAATTTCCAAAACCCAATAAAATCAGCAGTTTGAGCTATGTGTGGTGGCATACACCTGTGATCCCAGCACTCTAGAGGCTGGGGCAAGAGGATTGCCACAAATTCGAGGCCAGCTTGGGCTACACAGTGACTTCAAGGCCAGCCTGAACTACACAGCAAGACCCTGTCTCAAAAAAATTAAATAAATAAAAGTTGTGTAAAAATTATTTTTTAAAAAAACATGAAAAAACATTATGGCCTTTATTTGAACACATACTTTACAACTCTAACCATTGAGAAACTCTAGAAGCAAGTGATGGAGCAGTAAGTATCCCTGGTATATAAATTAAGGGTTCAAATTACCCTTTCCCTCAGAAAAAGAACCAAGGCTCTTGGAGAAATGAGTAACCCTAGGCGTGGAACAGGAATTGGGGCTAGAATGCTGCTGTTGCTTAAGAGAAGGAACACATCAAACACTATCATCAGGCCCAGGTTCTATGGAGCTTGAAGTTTGTATTAAATATCTATCAACCCATCTGTCAAAAATCTTGCTTTTGCAAATTTTACCGAATTATATGTCCAATTCCTAAAACCTTGACCCCAAAGCCTTCACAGGACCCATGCAAATAAAGAATACTGAAGCTTCAGCTTCATTATTTGCATGGCAGCTAAGTGCACCCCTCTCTGAGGCAAGGAAGGGACTAACTAACAAGGTCAAAGACAGGGAAATTTGAGAATCAGAAACATTAACTGTAATAGATTGAAAAAATCAAATATACAAAAATCCACGAATTCATAATAATGTCCCCCCAAAAGCAATGTAAATATTATACATAACTGCTAGAGTATCAACTTAATACTCTGAATATAAAGAAAAAATAAATGAAGCATTTAGCCTACTTTCTCATATTAACTGTATTTCAAGAAAACCAAATACTTCAAATATAGAATTTGAAATTCATTATTTTGCAGCATCTAATAATCTAGGTAAATAACTATCAGTGTCTACTAAAACTATCCAGATCAAAGGCCAGTTGATATATTTAAGTCTTTGCAGTACCAGGTACATCCCAGTTCTTTTCTATTTTGAGAAAAGGTCTTACCAACTGTCCAGGCAGCTCTCAACTTAGTAATCCTCCTGCCTCAGCCTCCTGAATAGCTAGGATTACAGTATAAGCCACCATATCCAGCTGTTTAGTTTTTCAGACAAGGTCTGATTTTGATGCGAAGTTGTTCTTGAACTCCTGAACTCAAGTGAGACTCCTGCCTCTGCCTCCAAGGCAGTTGGGACTATGTTGCCCAACTGAGGTGGCTAATGTAATGGATGGGTGAGACTCCATTAGCCTCCTTGATCAATCTTCACATCATTAAATGATCTGACAATGAAGAGCACTCATTGACCTCAAGGACCCAACTAAGGCTTTGAGTAAAAGCCCAGTTCTGACTGGCCATTCAGGAATGCAGAGATCTGAGTATCACTGAAAAAGCTTTCAAAATTTAGCTAATATTAAAAACAAACCACATGGATGGCTAGTCAAAACCTGAATACGAACAAAATTGGGTAACTAAAACAAAAATATCAAAATTCTCCATAGGATTTAAATAAGATTTAAGCCTCAGAAAACATTTTTTTACACGTTAAGCAGGAAAATCTCAAATTACATATGAAAGGGTAATCAACAGATGTAGGCACCAAGATGACAGATTCAGGACTTGGTGGACAAAGACTTTAAAGCAGCTACTATAAGTGAAGATGTATACCCTAGAAGTGAACAGAGAGAAATAAAGTCTCAGCATGGAAACTAAAGATGTGTGGAAGATGGTTTATCTAGCTTATGTGTAAGGCAGCCAGCTACTGCATGGGCCTGAGACAGACGATACAAATCAAGAATAGATAGCAAACTAGGTCTCTGGACACAGAATGAATTTCCTTAGGCAGCATGAAATGCAGCCCATCTCCTACCAGATCCATAATTTTGAGGAAATTATAATGTGAATTAATTAGTTCCTTCTAAGAACCCAGTTTACAGCAACTGTGTGGAAGAACTGGGCTGGAGAACCTGAGTCCCAACTGGTCATGTTAAATCCACAGAGCCATCTGTGATAGGTAACTGACCACTACACAATTAAGCAATTCCTGTAACCTGTTTGCCTGTGAATAACTGAGAGGCCACGTGGCCACACCATCGGGGACCCCTCCTGGAAATTCAGGAGTCATTCTCCTTCTCCTTTCCAGTAAAACTTCCTAACTTCCTGGTCTAGTTCACAGCTTCATTCTTCGACAATTGCAGAAACATGGACCCGGAACACAGTATCAATATGAAATAGTAAACTAAATTTTTTTTCTTTTACAGTGCTTGAGATTGAACCTAGGGCCTCACACATGCTAGATAATAGCACTATCACTATGCTACATGATCAATCCACTAAACTGAAATTTTAGAAGAGAAAAACACAGTAATGACACTTGAAAACTTTTAATAGAAGGGATCAGTAGCTGAATGGAGTTGGCAGAGGAAAATGTATAAAGACAAACCTATAAAAATTACCCAATCTGAAGACAAAAAGATTTTTATAAGTGAACACAGGCCCCAGGGACCAGTGGGACAATATTAAAAACTTAAGTCTCTTAATGATATTTGTGTCCCTAATAGTCATAGAAGGAGAGAAAAATGTACAGAAGAGGAAAAAAACTGAAAAGTAGCTAAAACTATCCGATTTGAGAGATAAAACAGACTAAAGAAGCTCAGTGAACAGGAGAAGCAAAGCAAAATCATAAAACATAAACCTTACTCCTAAGCACATTATACTAACCTGCTAAAAATTAACTACAAAGAAAAACACTTTAAAGCATCCAGGTTAAAATAGGACTTCATATTTATAGGAAACATCTCAACTGAGTTGGCAGAAACCATGGAGGCCAGCAAGACAAACATATGTGTGTGTGTGCATATATATGTTTATATTCGTGTGTGTACATACATATACACACGTACACACACACACACACACACACATTTAAAGTACTGAAAATAAAGACAACTGATTCAGATTCTGAATCCCGAGAAAAATATCCTTCAAGGGTAAGTACAATCTCTGATAAAAGAAAAATCAAGACTTCAGCAGACCTACTCTTAATTAGCAAAGAAAGTTCTTCAGAGAAAAGGCAACTTACAAGAAT